CTAGGTTCTTAGAAACTGAATGGAAGCATGACAAGAGCCGAGCGGAGCTACTCGGCTTCCGTTGGGCATGTGCAAAAAATGCTGTCTGGATCGTGTCCTGTCTACATTGTCCTGATTTGTCTTCCCAGATAGGATCCTTTTGCAGTTGGTGAGGCAGTTCTGCTGAACCGCTGGTGTTCAGAGAGAAGGTGGAATGGTCTTGAAGACATGCCCTTAACAAGGTGGAAAGTACTCCTCTGGAGGCCCACCGTTGGGCAACGAGGAAGGGACGTCCATAACAGCTCCTGGTTTCTCAAAGGAGCGAGTGTGGCCTTCTTAGTCTAAGCGTTTTGAATTTAATGCAATCTGGCTATACAGTACACATAAACACACATACTATAGTGTGGAATTTGGAAATAGCATGTTCTAATTCATGCGTCAATGCTAAAGTCTTTGACAAGAGGGCAAGCCAGATGATGCGGCTTAAGAACAATAGTTCAAAAGGAACGGTTTTTAACATTAACCGTTCCCCAAATATTTTTTTCGAGATTAGGCGTATTCCTTCTGTTTAACGCCAAATTAAATGTCACACATTATTTCCAAGTTCTGATCCATAATATATCGCTTATCCATCGAAGACCCAGTGGGATTTACGTAGGTGCAAATTTGCATAGGATTTAAGTTATTAATTGTGTGTGCATGTGTTTTTAAGTAGCACTCTGGCCCTCTAAAAGGTGGGCCGGTTCCTGTAGCATAAATGAGAATTACAGAAGCTTTCAACGAAGGTGCCTACTGAAATCTGATGAAAATACTCAGGGGAGATACTACCGGAATTCTTTATTTCATCATCGACATCATCATCGTTATTTTTACAAAGTTTCACATTGACTGGACTGTAGGAGGAGCAGTAGAAGAAAAGAGCCACCCACCGAGGTCTGCCATGGCAGGTGGAAAACTTTGCTTATCAGATCATTTTGGGTTCTCCCGTTTTCAACCCATCGAGATGTTTTTATACAGAGAGAGGGAGCTTGAAAGAGAGAGAGAGACTTACTAGCAAGGAGCACATTTTCATGAACCATCAGCAAACGTCAACTACTCTATGGACAATAGCGGTTGGGCATTTCTCATCTTCTCCTGCCAAGATGACACGACAGGGAGCTGTTAAGCGACACGTCCATTCGAAGAGGTCCAACGCAAGCACAACTCTGTACTGCCCATAACCCTGAATTTGGAAAGGAAGGGCCAAGCATTCCCCGGATGATGATGAAAAGAAGGGGTTTGAGCCACTGCCCTCTAAAAAATGCAAGCAAGACAGACACAACTGTGGGGTAACCCCCAACCTTGCAAGGTTAGGCTGTCGAGTTCTTTTGGATTTATAATCATCCTCTTACAACTGCAGAGCTGGAAGGGACCCTCCCCAAGGACAATCCAGTCCAGCCCCTGTCAAGGAGGCCCAGGGCAGGAATCGAACTCCCAACCTCTGGCTTTGCAGCCAGAGACCTAAACCACGGAGATACCCCATCATTCACATTTGCAGTGTCTGCGTTCACAAGGTGAAAATAATGGGTTTACAATTTACAAGGCCACCCAGCCTTCTGGACTTGAAAGCAGGGACTCCCCTCAGAGTCCCCGATCTCATGTTTTTGTCCCAGACTGTATTGGGCAGCATTTTTCAGTATAAGCGATCCATTTGTCCTCGAGAGGACACCCTTGGCACACGCATTGGTTACTCTAGCCAGTAGCCCCCCCAAAAATTTTGCAGTGGAAGGGACTAAACTCTCACCTCCCAATTTTTCTTTCTAAAAGCTTCCAGGAAAAACAAGAGAAAATAACACACCTGTGATCGTAACTTGATCTGAATGGAGAAACTGTTCACAGGACCTTTGGCCCGTGCTCTGTATTTGGCCACGATTCATTGGTTCTGGGCATCTCCCGAGAAGGCAGGATTCTCTGGAAAAGACCATCATGCAGGGAATGGCTGAAGGCAACAGGAAAAGAGGAAGACCCAGTATGAGATGGACCGACTCCCTCAAGGAAGGCACGACTTTTGGGTTTGCAAGAGCTGAGCAGGGCTGTTGGGGACAGGAGTTTCTGGAGATCGTTCGTTCATAGGGTCGCCATACGCCGGAAGCGACTTGATGGCGCAGAACAACAGCAACAACAACCGAGAGCAGTCATGCTAAATGTGAGTGACGTGGCTTCCTTTCTTTAATCCCTCTCTTCTTACCCACATGATCCGAGAGGGCAGAATTGAAACTATGTCTTGCAGAGACATACCATTGTCCATACAAGGATGACGGAAAAAGAAGTCCCGTTTCCCTGTCTGGAAGGGGACTGCCGAGTTCTCCTGACCAAGTCTTGCCGAAAATAGGCAACAGCCTGCACCACCGCCCGCTCCCTACAGGATTTGTGCCTTTCCCCCACCTCTTGTTTTTTGAGTTGGAGTCTGAAATCCCAAATCTGACGCAAGTGAAAAAAAGAAAGTACTCCGTTCAGAGTTTCCGTCCGAACCACAAACTGTAAGAGCTCAGTTTTCGCCTTGAACCAAAGCTGGAGGGTGTCAAACGAAGCTTTAGAATGGAGTTGAATGTGGAATGGAAAGAAAAGCAGTGCTTTTCCTCCTCCTCTTTTTTTTTTAATGGCCCTTTCTGCAGAAAGAGATTGCTAAGACCTGAAGGGGAAGAAGCCGGCCGGCCGACCTGTGCTGGATTCCAAGAAATCCAGGGTTCTGTTCTCAAGTCAACGATGGGGTAGGAAGAAACGGTAGAACCAAAGCCAGCTCTTCGGTTGAGGAGCGATCCTTCTGCTGGTCCCAGAGCCAGAACTGCGAACGACGTGGGGAATGACCCAAACATACATCTCACCAAACGCTGCCGCTCTACACTCATCCTTGGCAACCGAACAAGTGAGTTCAGGCAGAGAACGTATAACTAATGAGCGAAGGATCTAGTAGTTAATTTGCACTATAGATGAACCCAAGGTCTAGGAAATTAGTTTGAGGGTGGAAGAAACCTGTGAATCTATTTATTTTTTTATCTTGATTTGTCTTTTATTTTTTTAAGGGAGAGGGCAGGCGTCTCTTTCCGTCACGGGGACAAGCCACTTTCCTGACCCAATGCTATTAATTATCGGTGCAAAGGCTACCTGCTCTTGTGAAGTACACGTTCTTGGTTGTATACCTCATGGGTTTCATGACTTGTCTGTTGCAACGTGTTTCATATGGTTGTCTGATCATGGTAACAGGACATGGTGAGAAACAGTAGTGATTTTTAAAGAATCCCTGTTAGCACCTCTGTTTTCCCGGCACACCTTGCCTCTCGTTGGGTCAGGCTTTGTCGCTTTGTCTTTATTGATCCGTTGGCATGGATCAAACGCCCTTCCTTCTTTGAGCCCAAGGCTCTCCTTCCTGCTCCTTATCCATCACAGCAACCCTGTGAAGCAGGCCAGGAGGGAGAGACTGTGGCCATAACCTAAGGGCAACCACTGAGCCGCATGGCTGAGTGGGGATTGGAACTCGGGTCTCCAGAGTTCGAAACTCCCGCGCTATTCTTTATGTCCTGCCGGCATCCATTAAGCAGTCCCCCAATATTAAACATTTATTACAATCCTTTGATCTCTCACCTTCAAAAATAAAAGGGAAAAAAATCTCGCTAAGGCAGGTTTGCAAAAAGGGAATCCGAAGACCCTTAATCAAATTACAACCGAAACAATACCAGCCAATTAAGAAGGCATCTGCCTAAACGATACAGGAGCCTGCCAAGAACTTTTATCTTCCGCAGTCTGCTGTCACCCCAGTTGTGATGGCTTTCTTTGTCTACAGCTAGATTCTGGCCTCTGTATTTCATATAAAATTTTAGGGTACACTGAAGTGGTCCTTTTAACTCAGGTCAAAGGAGATAGGGTAACAGCTCAGCATTTAGTACTGGAGGATTCCTGTTTGTAAACAGCACAAGCTTCTGCTTCCTTGCCCAGTCTTGCAAACTGTTCTGTGACTGGCCATCCAAGTGGGCAACACAGGCTTCTTTTACAAGTCCGATTGCTTAGATCCAGGGCTGGGAGGAAACCACACCATGGCTTCTGGATGCGAAGCTGGTCTCTCGTCCAGTTTGATCTGCTATGGAAGCACTTTTCAGGTTGGAGAACCAGCTGGAGATGGCGGTAGCATCCACGGCATGGGTCTGCAATCATTTTGCTTCATCTGTCTGACTTCTCTCCAACCCGATGCTGCTGTTGCATCATCTTTTAGGGCCAAGGGTTAGGTGGAGAGCCTCACATCTCTTTAAAGCTCTTCCAGAGCCACTCTGGAGGGGGGAGAGGGTCTGTGTAGACTGCCCTGACCCCCCTAGAAGGAAAATGGGGTGTAAAATGAAGATAAACAAAAATATGGAATAAATGCTGGACAGCGCAGTGTGTTAGCTCTCTGGCTGTGGAGCCAGAAGTTGGGAGTTCGATTCCCCACCGCCGCTTCTTGACAGATCTTCATGATCGAGAGGGTCCCTTCCAGCTCTGCAGTTATAAGATAATTTTGATTACATTGTGAAGCAAACAAGCAAAGCTCCCACCTAACTTCACTCAAAATAATGGTTGTTTAAATCTATACTGAAGTTTTGATGGAGGAGGAGGCCTTGCAGAAATGTCTGCCCTTAATACAGGTCTTTGGGGATTTTTTTTCCCACCAAGCCTTTGAACAACCAAAGATGGAGGTGATGGCCAAATGGAAACAGAGGTGTACTAACTGAGATTGTGTTGTTGTTTTTCATTAGTGGTCTGTTTGTACATTTGGGGCTGGGTGGGGGAGGGGAGGGAAGGGAAGGGAAGGAGAAAAGAAAGAAGGCCAGTATCCTATTTGAAGTGTGGGCAGTTTCATCAGTGCCCCTTTGTTCCAGAAGCACTCTGTTGCACAATCAGCCTCGCAGGCGTTATCCACAAGATGAGTATCCACCGAATCAATTATTCACTGCCTGATTTTTTAAAAAATTAAAATATAAAACCCAGAAATACATGTTCCCAAGGTGTATTACCAAGACTAGCCACTAGATGGAACCAGAGACAATGCTATATACTATAGCATTGTCTCTGGTTCCATCTAGTGGCTAGTTATGGTAATTACAGCATAGAAATACATATTTCTTGGGGGGGTTCCATTTAACGTTTAATATTTTCAGACCATGGCTAGGTGAAACTGTGCATAATGATGCCGCAGATACAGAGGTCCTACTGTATGTTCATATCTGGCAACTGCCTAACACAACAGGATACTGGCCTGCATTTGTTAACGCCTATACATTCCAAGCACTTGCTGGAATGGAGGATCGTTGTCCGCTATTCGTAGCAAGAACCTCAAAGCAATGCTTTCCTGTCACCAGAAAGGACCAGCCGTTCTCTCTGGATGCGGGTGCAATAGCCTCTCCCGAGATGGAGCGCCAGGCTTTGCCTGGTAGCCAACACCTCTGGACTGTTAGCACTTTTGATGTCGGTGGCCTTCTTGGTTGTGGTAGTTTTTGTTTCGTTTCTTGAAAAAAAGGGCTGACTACCTTTTAATGTTGTTCATGAAGGGTAGCAAAATGGAAATCCTTCCCCTCTCCATCAATGTATTCTTCCCCATACCCCACCCCAATCAACCAATCCATCAAATTCTAAAATCGGCACACAGTCACTGTGATGATTAGTGATCTGTATCGGCGGAGACTGTCATTGGAAAGCAGAGGAAACGCTACCTCTGAATCCTGTTCGGCCTGGAGCTGTTCTGGAACTTGTGCTGTGATCAGGTCTGAGATTTACTTATTTTTATTTATTTATTAGGGTCATTTTTTTAATTCAATGTTTCTATTAAGAAGAAAACATACAGTGCTTACAGCAATGGGCAGTGCATTCATAAAAGCAGATTTTTAAAATCCAATAACACATTTTTAAGAATAAAAAAAAGGGACAGATAAATTCTCCAGACCTCATTTGAAAAAAAAAAAACTGTTTATATCTGCGCTCTAAAGGAAAAAGCTGCACATTCAGGTGTATTGATATGGCTCCTTCTTAAGCCAGAATCTGGCAATACTGGCCTTTATTTTATTTTAATTTTTAAAAAGACTTTCATGATCAAGTTTCCGAGAGCATTGCACTAGATATATGAGAACACAAAACATTATACAATACTTTTTTAAAAAATGCATTGCAAACAAAATCAATAGCATAGCATCCTAGCAGACTCAGTTTTAGAAGGTTTATCAACAAAAGAAGCTTCTTCTAGCATGGGGGCTCCCAACCTTGGTTAACCGAAGTGCTCTTGGACTGCAACTCCCAGAAGCCTTCACCACCAGCTGTGCTGGCCAGGATTTCTGGGAGTTGCAGTCCAAGATCTGGACTGACCCAAGGTGGAGAACCACTGCTCTAGAATGATGACAGAGTGGTACGCAGATCATCCTCCAGGAAAGTCATAAAAATGCCAGGACTAAGACAGAAAAAAATTGGGGGGGAGCAAGTCAAGTAAGCCCATCTTGATTCCTATACCAGATATTTTCGGGGAGCCTTGGTAGAAGGTAATACATTTAGGGTGGCACCACACATATAGGCCATTAAAATTGATACGATCGATGACACAGCTGCCAAATGTTGATGGACTATAAATCCCATCAGCATTAGCCAACATTGTCCATCGGAAGGGACTATGAGAATTGATATCCACAGTTGCTTTTTTGCAACTTGAACAGAGCGTGGACAGAGACTGGCCATCTATGCATGCATGCGTCTCAAAACAGAAGTTTCTAAATTGTCGTTGGCCGATCGACTCTGTGACCAAAATGTCAACCCATTGATCACCACGTCAAAAAAAAAAGTCCCTTTTCTTCACAAAGCAACACGAGATCTTGTCGTGGACAACCAGCTCCCATGCCATCTTGGCCAGAGAGGGACAGAGAAGCACTAATTCGGACAGAAAGCTAAACCGGGTGAGAAATTTGGCAGACCATGCCCATTAAGATATCAGATATGGTGCATAGAGACATTTCAAAATCACCCCTTATGGTAGAAGATGGCAAGGACATAACCCGGATGGCTCGAGGATTCTTGGCAACTGCACCGGTTAGGTTCCTATATCAGATTTTTGGGTTCGTTTTATCGTTAAGAAAAAAAAGTCCACACTGCATCTATAAACTTTCCTTCAGATTTCTAATGCTCGGCTGCTATTAAAAATTTGAAATGGCCTTTGCTTTCAAATGACAGGCTTGCCTAGAAAGTCGAATACCAAGTCAACCCCCTCCCCCTTAAATGGGGGTGAGACTTTTGAGTTCAACCCCCCCACACACACACACACCATAACTTTGAGCACAAGAAGGGGGACGGGGCTGGCGATGAGCCGTGGAGGGAACGGTTTAACAAAACGGACCAAGAAAATACTTAACACGCCTACACACACAAACCCGGCAATTTTATACCTGTGCTCTGTAAACGTTTTCTATGTGACGTGGTCTTTCCTAAATGTAACACTCTTGTATTTTTCTGTGGGTTTATATGCAGCAGGACTGATTGCATCGAAGGCGCACGTTCAAATTTTGTAAAATATTCTTGACAAGGTCCCCCCCTTTCTTTCCAAAGGAAACAAAGATGGGTTTTCAAAAAACAAAACAGACAAAAAAAAGGGGGTTAATGTTTCTTCCTTTGGCTTGTTAACTGCATGTATAGTAATCTGGGCAGCAAGTAAAGACAATTAAAGCCAGTTTTGAAAACTGCTCAGACTGGTTGGATTTTTTAATTAGGCCTCCTTCAGTCTTGAGAGATGATGGTAACGTACTCTGTATGGAGGTCTTGGAGCAGCATCTAGTGTGGCGGAGAAGGCCAGTTCGAGAGTGACCATTCCTTCCACACTGAAGACAAACACAGTCTGTCCTCTGTCCAGCTCACTGGTTTTGCTGCTTTCGGGACTGCCTCTTTGCCTCAGCCAGCTGGACAAGGGTTTCTTCAAATTGTGAGAGGCTGTGATGCACCGCCTGCCTCCAGGCTGAACGCTCAGATGTCAGGGTTTCCCATCTGTTGAGATCCATTCCTAAGGCCTTCAGATCCCACTTGCAGATCTCCTTGTATCGCAGCTGTGGTCTCCCTCTGGGGCGATTTCCCTGCACTAATTTTCCATACAGGAGATCTTTTGGAATCCGACCATCAGCCATTCTCACGACATGCCCGAGCCAACGTAGACGTCGCTGTTTCAGTAATGTATACATGCTAAAAATTCCAGCTCGATCTAGGTCTACTCTATTTGGAACTTTGTCCTGTCAGGTGATACCAAAAATCTGTCGGAGGCAACGCATGTGGAAGGTGTCCAGCTTCCTCTCCTGCCGTGCACAAAGCGTCCAGGACTCACTGAAGGACAGGAGTGTGCTCAGGACACAGGCTCTATAGACCTGGATCTTGGTATAGTGTCTGGAAAAGTGTGTCCGGGGAACATTTCCAGCAACTGGCTTTTGTTACCTATGTTCAAATTTCATCTTGAATAACACCCAGCAGATGCCCCTCACCTCCGCTGGGTAGGCAGATAACCACACCACTGCAGGCAAAACACCGGGGAGCACCATCAACAGCTGATGTACAAACAGGCTTTAGCAATTCAGTGTGAACCTTTAATACATTGCAGAGGAACAGATCAAGATTCATAACAGAGGTGGCTCGCTCTTCTCCTAGGAGACCCAGTGGGGAATCGAACCCCCCACCCCACCCCACCTCTGGCTCTGTAACCAGCTATTCCAAACTCACTGAGCTATCCCGCTAGATAATTTTGGACTGCAGCCCCCAGAATTCCCCCATAGCTGCCTAAGAATTCTGGGAGTTCTAACAAATTGCCACACTTTTAACTTTGAACACAATGATCCAAAGATCAGGAGGAAAGAGGGCCGTGTTTCACTGCAATATTTTTATTAAGGAATTTACATATACACAAGGTAAAGTAGACAGTAGATGCCTGGCTTTCAGTGATGCTGACCAAAGTCCTTCAGGTTGGGCGTCCCTCCCTTGTGAAGTGGCGGGGGGGGGGAGGAGAGCCAGACCCCCCCATCAATCCCAGGATTTATACTCCATCCTTAAAACTTCCAAGCTGGCAAGTGTTGGTGAGTGTGCATGCCTGCGCATGCACGCCGTTAAACAGAACAGAAAGTGCAAACAAACAAAAAGTGCAAGGAGAAACTCACCACAGAGTTTTGGCCCTTGGTCGAGGAGGAGGAGGAAAGGGGGAAAAGGAAGGAAATGAGAAGGAATGATTGTTCAAACATGTTAACACCACAGGTTGGAAGGAGGCAGCAGTGGCTCCCTAAGAGGTGCAGTTTTCCTGGCTGAGCACCCCTCCTGAATTCCAGAAAAAAACATAATGGGTGTGAATCCCGACAGGTCCAAGGAAAGCTGTCTTCCTAGCCGGGACAGAACTACCTCTGGAATGCAGGAGGAGGGGAAATGGAATGTGGAAGTACAAGGGCTGGGCTAGAAAGGAGGGCAATTCAAAAAATGAAAAAATAAAGTACTAGGAAAGGAGGAGGTAGAGGAAGGAGAAGGCAATAAAACAGAAATAAGCTCAGAGACCAAACAGGGAGACCAGAACCTTACTGCTGGTTTATGCTTACACGGGGAAAATTGCGTAAGATGGCAACAGATGGCCGCTCAGTATGAAGGTGCTGGCTGCGGTCTGATTCTGCCACCAAAGATTGTAATCAGCGCCTTAATTACTAGCACTGTGATGCTACACAATTTCCCTTGTGCAAGTGTAAAGTCACAATAGGATTCTAGCCTTCCACCTTTCTTGTCCAATTTTTTTTAAAAAAAATAACCAAACAAACCTTCCACCAAAAAGCCTTTGGTGCAGCTGCGACCCAAAGTTGCAAATTCAGAATCGGCTCAGCCATCGTGGCCTCCCGGCACGGCCGCTTTCCAGCGATGGCTCAATCCTGCCCCCAAAGGCTGCCACCTCCGCTGGAGGTCCTTCCTCCCTGCACTGCCAGGAGGACACCCTCAAGGAAGCCAAGACCGCCAAGAGGCCAGCTTGGTCAGTGCTCTTGGGTGGCCGCGCAGGAAAGCAATATTCCACGTAGGCAAAATCTGGCTGAGACCACCAGGAAGGGTGTGTGTGTGTGTGTGTGTGTGTGTGTGTGTGTGTGTGTGTTGTGTGTGTGTGTGCGTGTGCGTGTGCGTGTGTGCATGTGTGTGTAAAACCTATAATAACCTTGAGAAGCAAGTTTAATGAAGAAATGAAAAGCCAACAGGAAAACAGAAGCTGAAAGCAAAAAAAAAGTGTGTTCTTGGGGAAGAGTGGTCCCAATCCGGAGGCATTATTTCCACACCTGGGAACTGAGGGTTTGGTTTGTTCCTGGCGCCCCTCCTCGACCTGCTGACTCTCCGTAGCCCATCATGCCGTTTGTCCCATAGAAGTTCATCCCAGCCATCTGCTGCGTCATCTGAGGGAGGAGGAGGAAGAAGGAGGAGGAAAGAAAAGGCTCAGAAAACCCATTCTCCAATAGGCATGCCTCAAGCCTTCCATTATGGGGCTGCGTTTTTTCGCCCAGTTTGACCGATTGTGCTGTTTAGTTTTTTTGGCTGAACAGGTTTTCGGCACTTCAAAGCCCTGCCTCCTCTGTTGGGCGCCCACTCAGAGGCAGCGCTCGAAGGAGGCGGGGCAGAGGAGCAAGGGTGCTGCCTAGGAGTGGCTATCCGCCAGAGGAGGTGGGGCTTTCAAGTGCCACAAACCCGTTTGGCCGCTAAACGAACCAGTACAAACCAACGATCGTTGCCCGTCTTTCTTGGAGAGTGGTCCTAGCTCATTCCCAACTCCAGTTCTGCAGGTGGCACCCCATTTATTTCCCACAGACTTCACAAGAAAATGCTATTCGCGGTCACTTTGAGTCTAAAGGGGAAGCAAAACACAACTAAAACGGAGAACAATCATCCTGGAGGATTTCCCCCCCCCCCTGTTTTGAGCCAAATTTAAAAAAAAAATATGAGTTGGCTCTTACACAAGCTCAGCTATTAGAATAACCAGTTCCAATCTCTGTTGGGCGCCCACTCAGAGGCAGCGCTCGAAGGAGGCGGGGCAGAGGAGCAAGGGTGCTGCCTAGGAGTGGCTATCCGCCAGAGGAGGTGGGGCTTTCAAGTGCCACAAACCCGTTTGGCCGCTAAACGAACCAGTACAAACCAACGATCGTTGCCCGTCTTTCTTGGAGAGTGGTCCTAGCTCATTCCCAACTCCAGTTCTGCAGGTGGCACCCCATTTATTTCCCACAGACTTCACAAGAAAATGCTATTCGGGGTCATTTTGTGTCTAAAGGGGAAGCAAAACACAACTAAAACGGAGAACAATCATCCTGGAGGATTTTTTTTTCCTCCCCTGTTTTGAGCCAAAAAAATTAAAAATAAAAATGAGTTGGCTCTTACACAACTAATGCTCAGCTATTAGAATAACCAGTTCCAACGTTTCGGGTTGAGGGAGTTTCTCTCCAAAGGCTGCAGAAGAGTTCTCCCAACCGACGCAATCTGTTGTGGAGTTGAGATTGGGACAAACTACTGGTCCGTGCTGGTTCGTTTATTGGCCGAACACACGGCTTCGGTGCTTCAGGATAGGCCCCTGCTAGAGGAGGCGGGGCTTGGAAGTACCTATTCGGCCAACGAACAAACCAGCACGAACCGCCGAACTGGCGGTCCTTGCCCATCTCTGTTCTTGAGCGAAGCTCTCAGTCAACGGAGGAGAAAGAACAGCCGTTGCTCCTGCCCCACCCTCATCCCCCCCTGGTGCCACCCCTCACCTGAGCAAGGTTCCATTGGAGCTGCTGGGCCGGCTGCACCCCATACATCGGCTGCGGGACTGGAGCCATGCCAGCCACATAGCCTGGCGGCTGCGCCCCCATCATCCCATTGGGGAGCCCCAGAACGGCTGTCTGCATTCCGCCGACATAACCTGAGGGGATGGCCATAGGGGTCACCATGCCGGCAGCTCCCGGCTGGGCCATCATTCCAACCGGCGGTGCCATGATGCCACCCATCACGCCGCCCGGTGGCGCCATGCCCGGGAAACTGGGGTAGGCTGCAGGGTACCCCATCTGGGCTGGGGCGATGAACACCGCTCCTGGAGGGAGATGGAAAAGCCGGCGTTAGTGCGGAAGGAGAATCTGGGATACTGTCAAAATGTGGATTAGAGCAAACACTATTTTAATAGCAAAGGCTAGGCATAGTATGGTCTCGGTCTCCGTTTAGTGGCCAGTTCTGGTAATGTCACCTTTATATATGTATATTTCTAATTACTTTTACAGATTTCACAGAAACGAACCAGCCACAAATCGGGGGGGGGGGGGGGGGGGGGGGGAG